CTATTAACTGTATAGCGAGGTTTTTCCCAAATCTGTCCATATTCTTAGGATGCTCGTGTTGTACCGACTAATATGCATGGTATGTAGCCGCATAGGCCCTGGTGTTGAGTTTAAGGTCCGTCTGAAGTCATAGTAATCGCGTGAAAGTACATGCAAGTGATGCAACAATCATTGTTCGATACGCAAGTACACGTAATTCAGGTACGCAAATACTGTACCAAATATGAGACGTTTGTATTCGCCTTGCCGGCCGGTACTCTATTTCCCCAGGAAAATGAAAGCAGGGCCTGATCTCAGCTTAGTGCGAGACGAGTTGTCTGGAAGATACAAATGTTAGCAAAGTCTAGAAATCCATGTAAATTAAGTTTATTCAGGGTCCACTCCAGTGCATGGTTTTTGTATTTTTATACGATGTCAGGCATGTTACGTAGCTTGTCATCTGAAAGCTTCAATAGGCTTCAAACACTAGTGGTAAACTAAGCTTTTTTGCATATCAATTGCCTTAGGTGAGGGTCTCAATGGGGTTAACCGATAGGCGTAAAACGGCCAAAAATTTAGTCGATAGCCGTAAAAATTGAAAAATTTTAACCGTTAGCCGTAAAAAGGGGAAAAAATAGTTAACCGTAAAAGAAAGTGTTCCCTAGACTTGCTACTCTTAAGGATGGTACTAAACTCACTTATGGTTGCGTTTTTTATTTCCCGGCTTGTGTGACTCCTTACGCACGTTAGGCGAAGCGCCTTAGCCAAGACCTAGGCTCCATTTCCGGTGCTCTCTCGGGGAACTAATTTTTTCCATAGCGAAAGTGTGGCTTCTTGTTGGGGATTAATATTTGCAATTTTCCGGAGGTCGTGCCCTCGAAACACTAGTGAAACAACACGCAGAGATGTCACTGTTTGTAAAACACGTTGCCGCTAAACAACATTTCCCTGTTTCTCTCTGACGCTACGGTAGACATTGCCATGCCTAGTCCCTGTACGTCGTCTTCCCACGCAATCTCGGTCAAGGCATTTCGATGGCGAACTCGCTCGGACCACGTGACCCGAAACGCTTTAGCCGCGCGGAATAATGCAGCCTACAGACAAGGCAACGGAAGACAGTCTATCCGTACAGTCCTTCGCTATCATTAAAAGCACTGGACACGGGAATTTTGTTATTGGCCGTTTTCACACTAGAGCTAGAAATGGATCATCCGTCTGAGACTAGCCTGTGGACAGTCGCGTCCTCCCCACAGACACCCCTTCTCCGATTTTTTCTGAGAGGAGGGGGCGGCTGTACACAGGCTATCTGGAACGCATAATCCCGTCTTCAAAAGTCAGGCGGATTGTTCATTCAAAATTTCCATTTGCAAATTAAGACGTATTGCCTATCTGACGCGAATCATCAAACGGATAACCTATCTCACACGAATAATCCTTGTCTAGTGTGAAAACGGACATTTCTGTTATAATGAATGTCGCGCCGCGGCCTTGAGTTGGGCGTTCGCGTGTCTGCTTTTGCTTTTTCACAAAGATTATTTTTAAATTGACTATTGACATTTCTAAGAATAAAATAATATTAGAAGTGGAATACTTTATAAAAAGTATGACCTATCAAATGCCAAAATTTTTCAAAAGAACAGCTTATTTCATCCCGAGATGATCCGAAGACCTTTATTAAAAAAAAACAGGTTATTAATATTTAACTTTTTGAAACAAAAGAAGTTAATTTTGAACTTTTCGTTAACCGTAACTGAAAAACCTTAACCGATAGCCGTAAAAGAGCCAAAATTTTAGCCGATAACCGTAAAAGCCACCACCCCATTGAGACCCTCTTAATAGCGACTCCTAAAACGACCGCAAAAAACCGAAACCGATAGAAATATGACCAAAGCGTTGACACTCTTTGGTGTTGCCTGGAAGCACAAAATGCTCCGTGACGTCACACACTAGATGACGTCAGGGCGGAAACCATGGCGATATATGCAAGTATAGATGGACCGGCCGACGGCCGGCGGGACAAGCGCTTAGCGCGCGACGAGATTATAAACCTCGCGAGGCCAGGCACCTTTGGCCCCTCACTTCGCGCGCAATACACATTTGATTGATCATTAGTGTGTCTGCCAGTTGTAGCATGACGAATGAGTTGCCTGTTTTTCATGCACAGGAATATTAATGTCCAAAATAAGCTTGGGCTTGCAGTACAGTATATGGCTCTTTATAAAATAACTGAGATAGTACGCGTGATCTGATTGGTCAAAAACCTATGGTTTATTATACCGGTAAACCCATAGAAAAAGGTATCCGGACCACGAGCCATAAACAAAACCGGCTATTGATCTGCAAACAACGATTTTAGAAAGGCTAAAAAATAGAACAAGTTACTTACCCAGCCCTTCTTAATATTAAAAGCGTTGGTTCCCACATTTTATTATTGAGTGTCACAATTCGCTGCTGCCATAGCTTTAGAAGTTATAAAGTACAAAGCTGGAAAACAGTTTACATTTCACGACGATGCCAAATCGCAGAGAAAGACAACAACTGTGAGAATTTCTGGTGTAGAAAGTCTCTAGGAAAACTTAACCATGTGCCAACCAGCAACAAAACGGATAGTTTTAGCATTCTTGATTTATTTTATGTCAAAATTNCGCAGAGAAAGACAACAACTGTGAGAATTTCTGGTGTAGAAAGTCTCTAGGAAAACTTAACCATGTGCCAACCAGCAACAAAACGGATAGTTTTAGCATTCTTGATTTATTTTATGTCAAAATTAAATTTCTCAATGAAAGAAATTGTTTCAAAAAGAGATCTCTGATCAAGACATGGTACAAAATCGGCCGCCTTAGGTTGTAAACAAGCGGCCAACGATGATGAAAGATGTTAAAGTTTCGGGCTGTTTTTTTCCCACATTTGCACAAATTATTTGGTGATATCGATGCCATAACCTACCTCAAGCCACCTGACTTTACAAATCGACAAATATTAACGCCAATATGTGGCTAAGGCAAAGAAACCTTTCTCCATCACTGACATATTTCCATCGGTCACTGTATGTTTATATTGCAGCCACGTCGTTACCACAGCATTTCTTAATCATAATAAAGTCCAGAAAACAGATCTTAAACCACTGCGGCTTGTAAAATTTGAAGAATTCCTCCATTACAATAGCTGTCAGTTCTGTCTGTAACAACGAAATTCTTACGGATCGACTCAACAAAATACAGCTGCGTACAGTCTGATGTTCAATTAATTTCTACTTCTGTAGTAAACAAACTATGAACGTATTCTTTCATTGTACGTTCGCATGAATATGTGTTGACTTTTCCTGTTAAACAGCTTTCATAAGTTATCATGTAATGAGTGCAGATACTCGTGTTTTGAAGTGCTGCTGTTTGTTGTTTGACTGAACTGAGTTTTGAGAAAGTTCAACGCTATCAAATCGTGAGTCATGATTGGCTTATGATGACTTTATAGAGAAGACGTGACTTGATCACGGTACTAGAACCTTATTTTTTACCTAAAAGACTCCATTCTACCAAAAGTTATTTAATAAAAGCGATAGACCACACTTTCTTGGGTTTACCGGCGTGATAACCCACGCGGGATGTTGGGAGAACAGGAGAAAAGCTTGTAAATAACTAGCCTTCGGCTCGTGATTTACAAGCTTTTCGAGAGAAAGTGTGGTCTATTGCTTAAATAAGTATTAAGAGGATCCTATTTGAAACAGGCCATATTAGCAGAAGGCGGAAAAGATCATTCGGGAGACCATAAGGCTCCTAATTCTACGGCCATCATTTTCAGTCTTTTTTACTCGGCTAACTCGAATAGTTCGATTCAGTTCTCCGCTTTCCCTTCAGAGTTCGAGTTACCTAGATTCTTCTACATATATGGAATATATCGCAGCTGGGAAACAATAAGGTCAGTCAAAATGGCCGACACTTCATATGATATAATAGGAAGGTGAGAGTGAAAACAAAGACTTTTTGTAATAAAAATGCCTCATCGTGCCATTGGCGACCTGTGACGTAGGTCAAAATTGCCTACACTATGGAGTTTACTGAAAACTTAGTTAACACTCTGAACATACAGACATTTGGCTTCCTTTGGATCTGTTTCAGGTACATGACTTCATAGTGAAAGTTCCTTATCCCGCCGTTGTATCTCCTAACCATAGCAATCGACTTTCAATTTTGTAAAGGGGTTTTCAAAGTTTATTGGTTTGCATAATTGGCCTACTTTTTGTTACAAATAAACTAACGGCTAATAAAAAGAAGAGTTTTTAATAGTCATAATCATTGTTTAAAAATTACAGAAAACTTCCCTTTGGAAAAGGAATCCTAACCCTAAGCCTCCCACCCCACCCCCTGTACGATGGAGGGTTAACAAATCTAACTGACAGTCTCAAATTTTATCCCATAATTCTAAGCAAAAATATTCATTTTTTAAAAAACCTTCTACTTATCGTTTGGGTTTTCTGTCTAATTGTACTGTTGCATCGTATAACAGAGCTCAAAAATGCAAGGAGGTCGATATTTGGCGATCACATTTTTTGAACGGCTATGTGTCTAAATTTTCGTACGGTTAGTCCGTGTGAAGGTGTGAAAGGAACACATGAACGGAAGAAATTTAAACTAGTCGAAAATTGGTCCGGTGCCTTTAAAATTTTAATATGATTGAGAGGATTATAACAGTGTGGGGAGACTGCATTGAAGAGAGCTCAGTAAGTCATCAGTAAGGCAGCATTTTAAATATGCTATTGTTAAAATTCAAGTCTTCTTTTAGTTTGTTTGATGGCTTAACGTTGCTTCGGTAAATGTCAAAGAAAGATTATCGAGCTGTAGAGTTTTTCGAAACGGGAGATTGGAATGTAATTTCAACGCTACCCTTGTTAGTTATTTTCGTTTTTAGTGCCCCTTGTTTTCTTTTATGGTTCTTTGGTATAAATTAATTTTTCCCTTTGAGTTGATTTGCTAACACAAGGGATTATTTTCTCAAAGGTTTCAAGGACCAGAATTCTATCAAGTATGTCCATTTCCAAAGAATACTCCAAAGAACAGCTGAATTACTTCAGAATTTGTTATGCAACAACTGATATTCTCACCGAAGGCCTGAGAGAAATCTTTAAACAAGAATGGGACAAACAGCACAAATTAACAAAAGGAGAATGGAAAGACGAGCCTCAGAATGGAATGGATTTTTATAACGGAGAGTCTGCCCGAAACCAAAGAAGAAATGGTCATCTTTTAACCACAATGCAAAACGGAAACAGAGAAGAATGGGATTGCACAATGCTTTTCTACGCCATTCTTTTCTCCGATTGTGTTGGTCCCAGTCTTAGGGCAACTGTGAGGATGAACGTGGACCATCTTAGAAATTTCAGGAACGAAGAATTTGCTCATATGAAACAAGGTAGTCTCTCTGACACAGATTTTCAGAATGCTATTAGCAAAGTTGAGTTGGCATTTCAAGTGCTTGGTCTACACACTGTAAAAATTCAAGATTTAAAAAATCAGAAAACTTTTCCGACAGAAGAATTACAACGGATCCTTAAAAAGGTTGATGACCTTAAACAAGAAGTTCAAGAAAAGGAGGATCAACGCCAGGTCCTTGAAGATCAGCTTCAGAAAGAAACGCCTTCGTTTTGTATTCTCCCTCCTAAACCTTCACATGACATCGATGATCGTGAACGCGAGGTGTCAGAAATAGCCCAGCAGTTAAGGGAGTTAAAAGAGTCCAGTGTCAACAAGCTGAGTTGTCTGTACATCTCAGGGAATCCTGGAAGTGGCAAATCACAGTTAGCTGGCCTCGTAGCTAAGAGGTACTTTGACGAGATTAAGAAAATACCAGGCAGTTCTTCATTTGTGATGACCTTAAATGCAGCTAGTCCAGATTCACTCTTAGAGTCATATGTGTCATTTGCTCGCCATTTAAGGTGTCCAGACTATTCAGTTATGGAAATCCTCAGCTCCAAGGTCTGGAAAGTAGAGGAAAAGATCACTTATCTTAAGACGCTTATTGCTGTAAAAATTAGCCGTTATACATCTTGGCTACTTGTTGTTGACAATGTCAGCACCATGTCCTCTGTGCATGTCCATTTACCACAGGCTGGAATCCACACTTGGGCAAGGGGTCAGATGCTGATTACAACTCAAGACATTAGGTCAATTCCCCCAAAAGGCTCTTTTGTTAATCACATCTCAGCAAGCAAAGGTATGGAGCCCGACGATGCCTGTTCCTTATTGGCCAAGCTATCTGGAATAAAAGATAACGAGTTATTGAGAAAAGTGGCACAAAAACTAGACTATCAACCTCTTGCTTTAGCAGGCGCTGCCGTCTTTGTCAAAGGGATACGAGAGGACAAAGCATCGAAGTATTTTGGCTGGAACGAATACCTGAAGATGTTAGAAAAAGGCAAAAGAGAAACTACGGAGGATACTCTCGCATATACAAACCCAATTTACCCAAAGTCAATGACACAAGCAATTAAGCTAGCCGTCGAAACACTGATGAGTTCTGACGAGATTGTGAAACACCTTTTCACTCTTCTTTCCCTCTGTGCGCCACAACAATTAAACGTGGACGTAGCAATTAATTATATCATTAACGTACTCAAAGACTATCATGAAGAGGACAAGGAACTAATACGCATAAAGTTAAGAAATTGCTCACTATTGCTTTTCGAAGATGACCAAGGTGGCTGCTTCATTCGTGTGCACCAAGTTGTGCATGATACTATCAAAACTATGATCAGCCATTGTCCAGAGATTCAAACCCCTCAAGTCATAAATGCTGTTTTTACATCATTTGACGAATTTATAGACGCTGTTCCACAATCAAATATCAGACTGGACACTATACGTCTCGTTCCACATTTAAAGGCCATAACCATGGTAACCGACGAAGTGTTTGTAAAAGAAAATTTTCTTCAAGTCCACGAAAAAGACATTTCAGAAAAATGTGAAAAAATGGCCCATATTTGTAAAATGCATTGTGAATTTAATGTGGCCAAAACATACTTTGCCCATTCACTCGCCATAAAACTTGAAAAGCTCGGCCCTGACCATGTTGATGTTGCAACAAACTACAATAACTTGGCTTCAATTTACAAGCACCTAGGTGACTTCGAGCAAGCCAAGGAGTATGAGCAACGTGCTCTGGCGATTAGACTGGACAAGCTCGGCCCTGAACATGTTGCTGTTGCAACAAGCTACAATAACTTGGCTTCAATTTACAAGCACCTAGGTGACTTCGAGAAAGCCAAGGAGTATCAGCAACGTACTCTGGCGATTAGACTGGACAAGCTCGGCCCTGAACATGTTGATGTCGCAACAAGCTACAATAACTTGGCTGTAATTTACAAGGACCTAGGTCACCTCGAGCAAGCCAAGGAGTATCAGAAATGTGCTCTGGCGATTACACTGGAGAAGCTCGGCCCTGAACATGTTGATGTTGCAACAAGCTACAATAACTTGGCTTTAATTTACCAGCACCAAGGTGACCTCGAGCAAGCCAAGGAGTATCAGCAACGTGCTCTAGCGATTACACTGGACAAGCTCTGCCCTGAACATGTTTATGTTGCAACAAGCTACGATAACTTGGCTTCAATTTACCAGCACCTAGGTGACCTCGAGCAAGCCAAGGAGTATCAGCAACGTGCTCTGGCGATTACACTGGACAAGCTCGGCCCTGAACATGTTGATGTTGCAACAAGCTACAATAACTTGGCTTTAACTTACAAGGACCTAGGTGACCTCGAGCAAGCCAAGGAGTATCAGGAACGTGCTCTGGCGATTACACTGGACAAGCTCGGCCCTGAACATGTTGATGTTGCAACAAGCTACAATAACTTGGCTTTTAATTACAAGGACTTAGGTGACCTCGAGAAAGCCATGGAGTATCAGAAGCGTGCTCTGGCGATTAAACTGGACAAGCTCGGCCCTGAACATGTTGATGTTGCAACAAGCTACAATAACTTGGCTTCAATTTACCAGCACCTAGGTGACCTCGAGCAAGCCAAGGAGTATCAGCAACGTGCTCTAGCGATTACACTGGACAAGCTCGGCCCTGAACATGTTTATGTTGCAACAAGCTACGATAACTTGGCTTCAATTTACCAGCACCTAGGTGACCTCGAGCAAGCCAAGGAGTATCAGCAACGTGCTCTAGCGATTACACTGGACAAGCTCGGCCCTAAACATGTTGCTGTTGCAACAAGCTACAATAACTTGGCTTTAACTTACAAGGACCTAGGTGACCTCGAGCAAGCCAAGGAGTATCAGGAACGTGCTCTAGCGATTACACTGGACAAGCTCGGCCCTGAACATGTTACTGTTGCAACAAGCTACAATAACTTGGCTTTAACTTACAAGGACTTAGGTGACCTCGAGCAAGCCAAGGAGTATCAGCAACGTGCTCTGGCGATTACACTGGATAAGCTCGGCCCTGAACATGTTGATGTTGCAACAAGCTACAATAACTTGGCTTCAATTTACAAGGACCTAGGTCACCTCGAGCAAGCCAAGGAGTATCAGAAACGTGCTCTGGCGATTAGACTGGACAAGCTCAGCCCTGAACATATTGATGTTGCAACAAGCTACAATAACTTGGCTGCAATTTACAAGGACCTAGGTGACCTCGAGCAAGCCAAGGAGTATCACCACCGTGCTGTAGCGATTACACTGGACAAGCTCGGCCCTAAACATGTTGATGTTGCGAGAAGCTACAATAACTTGGCTTCAATTTACAAAGACCTAGGTGACCTCGAGCAAGCCAAAGAGTATCAGCAACGTGCTCTAGCGATTAGACTGCACAAGCTGTTCTCTAGCGATTAGACTGGACATGCTCGGCCCTGAACTTGTTGGTCTTGCAACAAGCTACAATATTTTAAGCAACAACGACAGCGACGGCACCGAAAACAGCAAACGAGCATAGGAAAGCAACAACTTTGCACGTGCATCACGCCTTTTTGTACATTTCTTAGCCGTCGTTGCACGAGTACGACGTGTAAGAGCCTAATTTCACGTTTTGTCTAGGACGGGAACACAAGACATCAACTTTCTTTTTCTTTTCCTGAATCTTGATACAGTCTTTTAGAATTTAACTCCAAAAGTCATTAGTAGTAGGGGAGGCACCGGTTACTCCGGTTCTTTGCGGATTTAATTAACTTTTTGCGCGGTATAAATTAACGCAGATGACGTCATGCACCTCATTAAGATAGGATGATGTCATAGTTTATTTTTAGCTGGTAAGGAGTAAGTGACGTCAGAATTTCCTAGAGCTAACGTCATCAAAAAAATTTTGAGATCATAATCTATAAATAGAAAAGTGATATGATCTCCCTACTTAGTCATGATGATGTCATATTTATCCATTATCTTTGCAGATTATACTAAATGAAAAATCTTTAATCATTAAATTATGTTCACTAAAAATCGGTTATAAACAAAACCAAGACACGGAAGTTAACTGAAAAAGAAGGAAAAGGAGGTTAAGCGAATGCAAAATCGTACAAATTTTTGAGGCAAAACATGAAAACGAGGTCGAAGCTCAGCGAAGCGAAAAACTGCCTATCAAGCAAAAATGTCAATCTTTGTTTACTTGACGCTGTAGAAAGTATTGCACAGGGTATGAAAATTCTGTAGAAAACAACAGGTGGTTCTAAAGTAAACCCTAGCTCTTTTGGTTCTTAAATAAACCCCATTCTTAACAAGGATCAATTTAAACACGTGACAAATAAATTGACGAGACACGAGATACAGTTTTAAAAACTTTATTGAAAACCAGTGACAAAAAGAGTCTAATAAATAGCGATTTGAAAGGGATGGAAGTTAATCCTCTACTTCGTTCTCCTGTTTAGAATGGGAATAAAAATTGGTTTCCAACGTCTTGGCGTTTTTGTGTGTAATTGCTCCACAATCGTGACACCGAAGAAAGCCCTCTTTGATGTAATTTCTCTCCTCGGGGATCTGGTGATCGCATATAGGACAAATCGAGTGGTTATCATGCCAAAAGCATTTAGGACATTTCATGGTCAATGTCGAGTACACATTAGAGTTTTCGCAATGTTCACAGGGACTTTTAGAGTGAAAGGTGGTGGACGTCTCAGGGCTACTACTTTCTGTTTCCTGACTGTCGTTTTCAGTGTCGTTGTCGCTCTCTTGGGTGCCTTCAGCTTCAACGCCATTCTCAGAAGCTGCTTCCTCCTCCTCTTCCTGATTTTCAATATCCGATGAACTCTCCTCATTATTACTCTCGTTATCGGAAGTATTTTTTACATTTTGGTAGCCTTTTTCTCTTTCTATTAAATCACTTAACAACCTATTGTTCTTGATTAAACCTTTATCGATTCCTAACTCTGCAAGTCCATCTAGGAAAGTATTCAGCGCACGAGGTTTGGTTACGTCATCGTTATGAGGTAGTAACACATACTCAAGCAGCTCGGCGATGTTTGTAACGGGAATTATACGTTTATTTCGAAGTAATTGTCCGCGGGGAGTCCAGAATAAAAGATCTTTGGACGCGGCCATACTATGCAGCAAATCAGAAGCACGCTTTACCGACAATGCTCAGAAAAGATGACTCAAAACATCTTTTATTCTTGGTTCTTCTTTTATTCTTGGTTCTTCATCCTCGCTTTCATCACCAGAACTTTCGCTTTCTTCATGTTCACTCTCGTGTTCTTCTTCAACCAAATCTATCTTTCTCTTCATTTTGATGAGTACCCGTGACAGACCGTTGCTTCAAATGAGTAACTCATAGTTTCGTTTCCTCTTTTATAGCATCAAAAATCCTTGGCTTGTAACAGCAGGCACCAATAGGTCTTGAATAAAACCATCACCCCCCTGTACAAGGATTCGCTTCTTTGTTTTTTAAGGGACAATTGTTTCTGCTAGGTTTACTAGACCATTCTTATATGGAAACACGTTCCGCTTATTTTCTTCGGGGATAAAAATGTATTCCTTAAGTATATTGTATAAGACTTGGACTAATGCATGTAGTTGTTGTGGACTGGCTGTCCGTAAAAGACAGCTAAGAGTTGAAGAAAACCACGATTGTTCTTGACAACTTGAGACATTGCGACAAACTGAACTTATGATTGTAGTTTGCAGTCTTTTATCGACTGTCGTGGAGAAAAACAATGGAAATGTGGTGGTGGTGGTGGTGGAGGGAAAACAATAGAAATGTGGTGGCGGTGGTGGTGGTGGTGGTAGTAGTGGAGGGAAAACTAATGAATTTTGTAGCCTTTAAAACTATATCAATGCGCATTATGCTAGCATTTTCTCAGTCTACATTCTGCTCCTGAGGAGCTGACATGAGTTGGTTCTGTTCCGTTTGCGAAAAATCATTTAGTAGAAAGGATAGCATGCAAAGGCACGTGATGTCTAAACACCACAATGTTGGTCTCACACCATTTCAAACAGTTCCGTTTTCACAGAAATGTCAGCGGTTTCGATTCGAACATCCTTTTACCTCCATGATTGCCGGAATGACCGGCTCAGGAAAAACGGCCTGGGTTCGATCTCTATTGCAACAAGCTTCAGAGACAATTTACCCTCCCCCGGAGAGGATCGTTTGGTGTTTTTCACAATGGCAGCCAGCGTATACACAAATGCTAGTCGCCATGCCACACATTGAATTCGTCAAGGGAATTCCTACGGTTTTGGAGCAGGATTCCTATTTTGATGTGAACAAACGGAATCTGATCGTCTTTGATGATCAGATGATTGACGCCAGTAAAGGCAAGCGAATTGTGAACCTTTTTACTCGTGGTTCTCATCATCGCAATCTGAGCGTGATTTATACCGTGCAGAATCTATTTCACCAGGGGAAAGGTAGCCGCAGCGTAAGCCTAAACAGCCATTATCTGGTGTTATTCAAGAATCCACGAGACAAATTGCAAATCTTGACTCTTGTCAAGCAAATGTATCCCGGGCAGACTGATTTCTTTTTAAATCAGTAGGAGGAGGCTGTAAAAAGACCTTTTGGTTATCTGCTGATTGATCTGAAAACTACTACCCAAGATAATTGTCGGTTGCGAACAAACGTCCTGCCCAGTGAAGAAGGTTTTAACCAAGCAGGGTTTCAAGAAAATATTCTTTCTTTCTCTTTCGCCTGTTCCGCTTCTTCCAGCTATGCAAGAAATACAAGGCAACATGGATGACGTGCTTTCTCGAAACGATCTTCGGGACGATGAAAAAGCTAAGCGATACTTTCAGTTACAAAACAAATACCTGGCTTTTAAAGAACAATTAAAAACAATAACACGACCGGAAGAAATAATCAGTACTGTTCCAGTCTTTACATCAAGGACACAAGATTCTTCGACAGCAACGACAGCATTCTCCACTCCCCTTAACCCCTTTAATGAAACACCTGAATTAACACAAGCCGCTATCTCTCAAAAACCTGACAAAGAAAGCCTCACCCCTCCACCACCCTTAAATCCTGCTCTCCTGAACCCTCTTCCCACAGTAGACACCCCATCACAACAGGGCCCGAAGCGCAAAAGGCGTCGAATTCAATTTGTAAATTATTTGGATGATCATAAAGCTCATGCCAAACAGCTGAAGAAACGTCGGCATAAGAAATTCAAACCTTACAAGTACTCCATGGGCGAAGAAGATGAAGATTAATTAATTTCCATTCCTTCCAAATCGCTGTGTATTTGACTCTTTTTGTGACTGTTTTTCAATAAAGTTTTTAAAACTGTATCTCGTGTCTTGTCAATTTATTTGTCGCGTGTTTAAATTGATCCTTGTTAAGTTATTAATTGTTTGTGTTTCTACAATAATAAGTCAAGGCGCTCCCTTGGGCCTAGCTGTAGAAATGAACTAATTTGTATTCTTGTGTGCGAGTTGGGCACACAAGACCGTATGCCCTTAGAACAGGAGAATCTGCTTCTGTGCCTGCCTCCTCAAGAACTAACAGATTTGTAAATTTTTGCACCATCAAATACCAGAATCACGCTTAAAAGAGCGAAAGGTGAAATGTCTTAATATTAACAGTTATATTTACGTGTCATAATTCCGAGGTATTTGTATGTTATTAATGACCCGCCTTGTACTTCAGTTTATGCAGCAAAAAGGTTGAATAAACAATTATTATTATCATTATTATTATTATTATTATTATTATTATTATTATTATTATTATTATTCAACTTTGGGCTTGTTAACCCGCATAATTAACTGACTAACACTAACGGCGCTTGAATTGACAAGACCATACGCGCATCAAGCGCTGAGATTTCAATAGTTAGTCGTTTCCTCGAGATAGAACGGAGAAGCGCTTTCGTAATGGTGAGTCAAAATTGAAATAGAGAGTTTTCAGCTCCACTCTGTGTATGTGTGTGTGTGTGTGTTTGTTTTGTTTATATATCCGATTTTTAGCGCTAAACAAGAAGAAATGTGTTGCTAGGCGATCGCACCTCTTATTCCTATTTTTCCACTCATTAGGAACAAGAATGGGGTTTATTTAAGAACCAAAAGAGCTAGGGTTTACTTTAGAACCACACATAAGATAATCACTTTATTGTTATACATTTATTGTGAACAATCTTTCTCAAACATGTATTCATAACACCCAAATTGAGGGCATTCGTCCCTTCTTATAAAGTCCATATAGAGTAAATAGACTGTGCTAGTATCCATCTTACAAAGGCAAACTAAATATTTCATCCAAGTCTCTTTTAACTGCAAATTTAGTCTATTTTCCACTTCCTGCTGTGCAAGCTTCCATAATATTTTCAAGTCTACTTTTCCTTTCACGTATTCAAAATATGTTGCCCACGCCTCCTGAGCATCCATGGTCAAGTAAGTGTGATGCAGTTGAGATAAATCATCCATTTTACAACCATCGCGGTGTTCATTCACTGCTACATAGATCAGACGATTCACTTCTCTAACAAATACATCTTGAAAAATCTCTCCTATTTTATTCCGTATGATGTGTACTCCCATTTCAACTTCATCAATTATGATCTGGTCTGATCCAACCATGATTTCAACTTGTACTTCAGAAACTTAATGTCTTCAAGAATGATCCTTTCGTAACCTTTTTTTCACATTATATAAATTGAAGGACCGATAAAAATAAACAATGATGTCATAGACTATAGAAAAAGCTGATCATGTCAAAAAAACCTTTCTAATTTGAGCTGATGACGTCATCTCACCAGGTACCATATTAAATGGTTATTTTGATGATGATCTCATCGTTTTTTGATGACGTCAACTCCTTAGATTGTAAAAATCATCTTACCTGGATAAATATGACATCGTCATGACTAAGTAGGGAGATGATATCACTTTTCTATTTATAGATTATGATCTCAAAATTTTTTTGATAACGTTAACTCTAGGAGATTCTGACGTCATTTGCTCCTAACCAGCTAAAAATTAACTATGACATCATCCTATCTTAATGAGATGCATGACGTCATCGGCGTTAATTTATACCGCACAAAAAGTTAATTAAATCCGCAAAGAACCGGAGTAACCGGTGCCTCCCCTACTACTGTCATTTGCCAATAACGAGATGGAATAAGCTTGATAAAGTTTGAGGTAGCGCGAATTCACTTTTGTAGTGACGTTTTCGTAGCCGTCGCCATCTTTGTTGCTTAGGCTCCCTATTACTTTTGTATAATTGGAGTACAAACAAAATGTATCAAGCAAATCAAAGCAATCGCGTAGGCTGACAGACTCACGCGAAATTTTTTGCTTTCTTAAGGGAGTACACCCCCGGTAACGAGATGCATTTGTCCATCCAAAACATAAATACTTACCTGCAGGTTGACTTACCGTGATCTATGTAAAGTTATAAAGAATTAACCATTACTAACTTCGTCCATTGGCGTGGCCTTCTATACGTTTTAAGGAAAAGTGGCATCCCTTCCTGGTATCAGAATTTCTTATCATCTCCCCTTTCCTTTTGAAAACCTTTTGAGATCTCTATTTTTTATCGTGGATGTGCGGCTAGCTGGGTGTGATCGAGACGATATCAAAAATGATTTACATTCCTCTGCGTTTTTACTTTCAGTAGGTATAAAAGCAGCTAAACTCGGCCCTCAATTCGAAAAAGCCTTCGTTTGGTGAAAGATTACGCTTCTAAGATTTTGATTAGCACGGCCGCGATAAAACTAAAAGTGAATTGTCTTTTCAGATTTCAGTATCTGAAAAGTCCTGGTAGTCTAAGAAAGAGAATTACAGTTGACTCCTGTTAACTCGAACCTTCCGCTGACTCGACGTAATTTTTGTTTCCCTTCATATCATTTCTGTACAATTTCAACAGAAATAGATGGTACACTTGGGTTAATAGGCTCCTAACTAGAAATTAATGCAAGTATCATTTAAGGTTGTAGTAACAATTTTTTATATCAAAGGGTTGATTAGTGGTCAGAATAGGGAAATCGCGTGACTTCATGATTCGATAACTACATGCACACTGACACTGTATTATAATATCATCAGGAACCGTATACTCGGCTTCTGTAATCATTGAAAAATGCAAACCGCTGATTACAGGGGTAATGTCGTACTTAGTGAAGCGTTGCTCTGATTAGCTGATCAAAATATTGGTTAATAAGTTTTTTACACAACTGAAAATTGAATCGTCAGCTTAGATAAAATATAGAAATAAATAGAGACAATGCAGAAAGTTTGTGATAGGGTTATCTATTGATACCACCTGTTGAATGCAGTGTAGCAACTTCAAAAAGCGTTGCAAGCGTAGCTAGCATGGCAAGGGCAAAAAGTGTAGCAGGCAAATGTAGCAAGCTAGGGCAACAAGTGCAGCAAGCGTAGCAAACGTAATAAGTGTAGCAAGCGCGGTTGGCAACTGTCGCAAGTAAACTTGCAAACGTAGGAAGGGTAGTAAGGAGAGCAAATGTAGCGTAGCAAGGGTAGCAAGCGCAGAAAGCGTAGCAAGTGTAGCAAGTGTAGCAAGCGTAGCAATTTAGCAAGCGTAGCAAGTGTAGCAAGGGTTAGCAAGCGTAGCAAGTGTATCAAGCGTAGCAAGTGTGGCAAGCGTGGCAAGTGTAGCAAGCGCCGTTGGCAAGCGTCGCAAGTAAACTTGCAAACGTAGGAAGGAGAGCCAAGGTAGCGTAGCAAGCGTAGCAACGGTAGCAACCGTAGAAAGCGTAGCAAGTGTGGCAAGTGTAGCAAGTGTGGCAAGTGTAGCAAGCGTAGCAAGGGTGGATCAGTGGAAGTGTGGTAGAATACATGTGCACTGCCCCCTTTGCCCAGATCACGTGCCTTAACCCAGAGCTAACGGGCCTTTTTTGGGGTAGTAGCAAGTGTTGCAAGCGTTGCAAGTGTGGCAAGCGTAGCAAGTGTAGCAAGAGTAGCAAGCGTGGCAAGTGTGGCAAGAGTAGCAAGCGTAGCAGGGGTAGCAAGTATGGTAAGCGTACCAAGTGTACCAAGCGTAGCCAGAGTGTAGCAAGTGTAGCAGTGTAGCGTGCGTAGTAAGTGTAGTAATTGTAGCAAGCGTATCAAGCGTATGTAACAATTATAGCAAGAACGCAATGTGTGAAGCTCAAAAATACTGACTAGCTATGGTCATGACGAGGATTGTTATTTGGCCCTCGTATATTTAATATCTTCGTAAATGACCTGTTTTGGTTTACAACCACGTGACATGGCGGTCATGTTGGGGGTCAATACAATAGAAATATTTCTCGAAGAATTAACATGAAAATAGAGTTTAGTTTTCAGAGAAGAAAAATGCTGTTGTTCTTAACCACCAACATGGCCGCCGTGACGTCACCTGCAAACTTTGTACGGAACATTTTACAAACATTGCTATATTGCCACAAATAATAAAGAATTTTAAATAAAAATGAAATGTCTTACTCTTTTATTGTATATGTTGCAATTTGTGAGTTTCTTGGGCTGTTTTAAAGCATTTTTGAAGAGATCTTAAGATTTTTGTTTTTCCAGTTTAATTAATTACTTTTAACTGTTG